AGTAGTTGTCTTATTTTAAGCTTCTTCTCGAATTAGCCTCACGTACTTTTCTCAAATAGTGTAGCATTCATATTTTTTTACGCTGAAAAAGAATTTCCCAATCGTCGCTATAAAGAGTAGTTGTCTTATTTTAAGCTTCTTCTCGAATTAGCCTCACGTACTTTTCTCAAATAGTGTAGCATTCATATTTTTACACTGAAAAGAATTTCCCAATCGTCGCTATAAAGAGTAGTTGTCTTATTTTAAGCTTCTTCTCGAGAGTTATAATAGCAATTGTGGCTGAATGTTTAAACAATTAGATCAAACTTTGATAGCGTGCATTCACCGCCACAATAAATAACCGATAAACGGATTTTTAATAACCAATTCCGAACTTTCCCATTATAGATTTTGACGGTCTGTAGGTGATATAAAGAATTTAACGTCACGACAGCTCCAACTGCTGAAAGTTTTATAACAGAAAAGCGTCCATCCACCTCTACATTTTTTATTATCCCGCTCATTTCTTTACTGTATCATTGTGGCGAAAATAACGCATGTGGGCTTCATTATTCGGACCTCGCAGCGCAACAGAGTCGACTGCACATGACGAACCATATGTCGCTAGACGTTCGAGCGAACCGACTTCTGCTGGACACGTCTCTGGACAAACAGATAGTGACAATTGGCAGCGAACTCGTTCCAGTCTGAGTAGCTCTATTGGACCTACAAAAAGATATGGAATGTACGAGTTTAACTGGTCAGGTGGCACGGAAGATGACAATAAGGGGGCGTTGGAGATGAATTCAAACGCTGATACTACTATCGCACCGGGTGTAAAGGCGGCCAATTTTGACTCTTGGGAGCATCAAGAAAAGGCCCCAAACTCGCCTGTTCTCAAACCTTTATCTATTAATAGCACTATAAGTGAACCTCTCGATCCGCCATCGTTAGGTGGAATTCAGGTTACTCAGGTTTCGGTTGTCGAGATTCACGAAAGGACAGATGGTTCTGCAGTTAACTCTGTTGAACCGACAAACTTGCCGCATCGTGGAGAATATAATGGCTGGAAAGGTGAAGCTGATTGGTTGCCACCTACTTCACGGCGTAACTATAGGCATAGGCATTCGTATTCCGACTCTGTTATGAATGCGACTATTTCCAAGAACATTAGCAAATTACTCAATGGCTTTAAATCAACACAAGACCAGACGAGCAAGAAAAAGACACGTCGAATCAATTCTCGAATATCTGCAAGACGCAACGAAGAGGATCAAGATCGACCACTCGACGAAACAAGACGTCTCAGACCAAAGAGACGCACGTCAGTGATGACACAGGGAAAACCCAAAAGAAAGAGCCTTGCCATGAACGCTATCCAACCGCTTACCAAAGTTTCGACCCCGCCAGACGAACTTCATCCCACCGCTGCTGACGGTAGACATATGGTCAGGCAATTACCTTCCCCTGGCCGCCGTCTTCGTCGCAATGGTGCAACGATATATCGAAAGCAAACGCGATCTCCGCGTAACGCCGAGAGAGCCCCGACGTCTAATCCGGCCTTTACAAATGATCCGACAGATATCGATGACGACACTGTACCAACATACTCGTTGCGAACGCCGTGGGTGCCCAAGCCAATTCGGCCACCACAGTTGATCCATGCTACACTCGTACCTTTGCCAAGGCGTCTTTCACGCAACGGCAGTAGGACGTCAACAAATCTCGGCAGGCGCGCAAGATTGAGTACGCTTAATCCTCGACGACAATCGAAACTCGTTCCGCCTCCGTCAGTATCAGTGACAGCAGCTGCCGCTGATACGCGTACTGGGGCACAGGGAGTAATGCGTATACCGTCGACTAGAGTGAGACGCCGCAAGCGTGCATCGGTCATCTCAAACGATACAAAGAGAAGTTCAGTTATTCAGCGACAAGGGTTGTTGGAGGATACTATAATGATGTCGGTTATGGGCGGTGCATTGGGAGCGGGCCTGCAGAATGGTTTACTCCATAATATGAATCCTAAACAAGAGAAACCTTTGATACGAAAAAGGACTAAAAAGGGCAGTAATGCCGTTGTGGAAGATCGCGAAGCGAGACGAGCACGTAGACAAAAACAAAAAGAAAAGAAACAAAAAGAGAAAATCGAAGAGGAAAATAACGCAGTGACTGAGGCTGCAGTGGAAATGAATGATGAAAAAAGCCGCAAGAATGAATTTCTAATGGCACCACCAAGAAAAATCGGAAACTATCATTTCAGCCCTGACTTTACACCCGATCATTCGCCCAACAGCTCCTTTTCCTCCTCAGAGTCTGATACAAAATCTAACATCGAACCTTCTCCTTCTCCTTCGCCTTCGCCTCCGCCATTTCCAGCTCATCTCGCACGATCAACACAATACGGCAGCAACCAACTACCTTCCAAATTGATACACACAAAACCCAGCGAGTCACATGCGTACCCTAGACCACAGAGAATTCTTACGGATGTCGACCGTTTCAAAGAGCCCGGAACAACGCACGAGCTAGATGGCATGCCTGCCTTGACGTCAAAGTCTACACCCACGTCTCCGACACATTCGGTGAACGGAAGAAAGCACAAACCGAATTTGAGTATTCGTGGCCTGTTCACCATAAACAATACCCGTACGTCAGTGCCATCGTCAACATATTCTTCATCAATGCAAGCGTCAGCCTCGCCTTTATCACCACCACCGCCACCACCACTACCATTACCACTACCACATTCAGTGCCTACAACTACACAAGCAACCGTTTCCGTACTTCCTAGTCCGATAACGCCCCGACCAACCAATCCTCTTTCACAAAAGTCAATACCACCAACACCCATTGTAGTCCCACCAACGAAATTTCCTCAATCGCCCCCGCTTAGTCCCATAAAGGCTCTTCCAGCTGCAATAATTGGTCGATCGCGGCAGAAGAATAATAACGAGTCAAACATGAACGCGTCTGCATCGATAAGTCCCGAGAAACTTTTAAAGATGCAAAAGTTTGAAGCACTGCTTGCAGCGTCCGAAGCTGCCGGCGACAAGAAACAGCGGGTCAAGAAGAAACGCACGGATCAAAGCTCGGTGATAACTAGCACGGTTTCTCCTTTAGAAATGCCTCTATCTCCAATACTGTCACCCATGTCATCGGTGCCGCCGAATTTCGGCAGGATGGCCCCCGAAATGCGAAAGAAAGTTGTCAACATAGGAGGCATACCGCATTCCTTGATTCCTGGCGCGGTTCCACAGCTTCCACCATTGCACGTTGGTGGTGATAATCTATTGCGGAGAAGTCTGGGAGATTCGACGAGTGATAGGCAGTCGATGAATTCGGTGGCCAACTCGATCACAGACTCTGTGACCGGATCCGTTGCAGATTCTGTTGCCGAGTCGTTTACGATACATTATCGTCCCGAAGAGAAGGTAGAACTCGCAGCGGCAAAGGTTGGGGATGATGGTGTTATACGGTTGACTTTAACGCCTGCTGTATGTCGGTAACCAGACGCGCGTATAATGAGGATTGTGGTTGTTATTTTTCTCCCCTTGTAAATCTTAAATTATTTTTCTCATATTTATTTTTATTTTGTGTTATTTTACTCTATGTAATGTTTAAATTTTACTTTTTGTTATAATTTATTCTGAGACCATTTACTTTTGTTAGTTGTTGTTATTGTTATTCATTGCTTGAACGTAAAAGTAGACAGCGTTGACGTTGTATAGTATAGAAAGACTTATTCCAGCACATTTGATCTTCCCTATTTTGAACACGTTTTTAATTGTTTGTACATATGAATAGAAAAGATTGTGATAGTCTCCTCGCAATCTCGTCTCTTTGGAAGATGCTAGAATATATAACATTCCCTTGGTATTAATGTCGCCGGAGGATAGAGATATACGTTTTAATAGTAGATTTGGCTTTTTAAAACATCAAAGTGCTCAATAAAAAACGTGATCGAGGGGAAATAAAAATTGAAAAAGAATATTGGATGTGGCAGGCAGATCAGTTTATCTCTGCATAAAAAGCAAAACAGTCATATTAATATAGCAGAACATCTTTACTATTTCCAGTTAATAGCGTCAACCGACTTGCTTGAATTACAAATAAAGAGCAGACCTATACAGTTATATGCAGGACTTGACAACATAATAATAATAGCGTTATAATAGCCTATGTTACACAGTAATAAGCATATCGACACATCGACACGACAAAGAGTGTCAAGGTCAATAATGGTAGTTTTAGCTTACAAATTGAATTGGGCGAGGTTAGACGATATTAATTAATAATTGTATCGCTTCGATCACTATTGTTGCCCAAATACAGTTTTCTTTGACTGTAGATCATTTTCAAGGTTGGGATAATAATAATAATATCCGCAAGTCAATTTATGGGCGTGTTGCTCTTTCTTCGTTTGTTATCGGCATGGATTAGGCTTGATAGCATTATGGTTTTAAAGCATAATGAAGCGCAAAAACCTCGAGGTATTTGCAACTTGTGCTGCAATTTAGAGCTCCATCACTATGATTTTTATCATCACTTTGGTTCGCATTCTCTGGCTCGTGTTTCGGCTCTAGCGTTGCTTTAATATCTCGTTGCCTAGTCAAAGTTTTTGAAAGAACTAGACAAGTTATTTATTTAGCATGTCACTATGATAAGTTTGAAGCCTTCACTTGCAAAAAATAGGACATATCTATTCACTGAACTGAGTGTTTTCAGATACTCAACGCGAACGAGCTTAATAAGGAATTCAAGGATAAAGTTAAAATCCTCCGTAAAAAATCAACATCTTACACATGATTTTGAAAGTGAATACTTGTGCATAAATTTATGCAGTTAGCTTTGAAGTAACTGAAAATTAAACATAAATTCGAAACAAGGCAGCGAGACTCAATTTAATTGCCCATGTAATATACTTTACTGAACAAAAAACATCGTTTAAAAGGAACACTAACACTTAATTATTTAACCCAATTACAAGTGAAAGCTGAGTGATATTAGTAACCTATTACCGTATCGCACCGGTTCTAGTAACCGGGGTACTTTACCAGAACACACACCTGTTATTCTGGTTTAGTAACTGGGGTACTGTGTGAGGTACTGTGCTAGGGGGTTACTGTACCAGGTGGTACATTATAATTAGGTAATTAACTTAAACTTGTATACATAATATGGTGAACTCTCCCTAAATGCACTCTCCTAACGTTAAATGCACAGTCCCTAAATGCACGCTATTTGATGGTCCCAACCTCAGGACTTAATGCTAAATGCACACTCTCTATATTCTGCCGTAAATGCACGAACAACTCAGCAGCTAAATATGGTATAGTCTGTCAATGTCCATCACCAATGAAATTCGGCGAGTTAAAGACTTTACAATAACAAATTATCGGATCATAAAATGTAACGAATAGAGAATCCGTGCTATAATCATTCCACTTACGCAAGCGAACTATTTTCTGGTGTCAAGTTATATTCGAGATGTGAGAATACAGTTCTGTAGTAACATTGTCTGCTAACATCAGGTCGTGTATTTATTTAGACATCAATAGCCAACAGTGGACAGAGCATCTTAATATTTTGTAATAATTTACGATTGTAACAGTTAGCTTAGCCATTATTTAAGCATGCCATCGTGGTCATAGTCATAAAAATCGTTTATAACTAATTGTTAGTTAGAGGGTTGTACTGAAATTTTACTATCAATAAAAATAATTCATCATGCCGCCAAAAAGTAAGACAACTTTGACAGATTCGCAAAAATACGACTTTTGCCTGTATGCTTGCAAAAAACACAGATCGGTTACATACCCAGAACTCAAACAAGCAGCTATCAGTGCCAGTACGGCATTACAAGGCTTGGAAACCGTAAAAGCATTTTACTACAACAAGGAAACGCATGCGATGCGACAAACAAATATAAAGTATCGGAATCACGTGAATTTACCATACTCTCCCTAAATCCCTAAATGCACGTTTTTGCATTATTCCCTAAATGCACGCTCTCCCACTTTCGGTCCCAAGGGCGTGCATTTAGGGAGAGTTCACTGTACTTTTTACTTTATGTTGCGGGATATTAAATAAGAGAGACAGAAGTGAAGATAATTTAATCTGATTATGCACAGTACCAGTAATAGTAACGACAGAAGCAGATGTAGTTGATAGCTCAAATGTTGATGATGTTGGAGATATTGAAAACGATTACACCTATGCAAATACGATGGATGTGTTCAAAAATCAGTCTTAACACATATAAATATATCTTTTTATAGCAATATTAATCGGATCGATTGCATATACTGAATAGTTGTACCCGGTTACTTTACCAGAACGGACTGGTATAAGACCCGGTACTATACCCAGTGCAGTGCAATATGGTAATATAATAACTTCAACTTGTGGTGGTAAACCCACTGTTAGACTGACTGTGTCATTTTGCCTTGCCTAAACATAATATCGTATTAAATGAGTTTGATAGATAAATACTTCCCTCTTATTCAATCTGTATCTGGTATGCTCATGCCATAAATTCTTAATT